AAACCAACCAAATCCATGACGATTTGAATATTTCCAACTAGATTTATTCAAAAAGGATACGGCCAAATCTATTTTGACTGTTTTCAACCTTCAATATGGCTAAAAAAAGCCAGATCGATATACGACTTGCTAGATCCTATTAGTTATGCTCTGATCAAGCAACTGCCAATAATGGTCTTGAGTGGTTAAGGATATTTTGTTAACTTTTAAATTTTTTTATGGTTGGAATATTGTTAAATTTTCAATTTTAAAGGGTCTAAATAATTATTATTGGATAGATATTTGAGAATAATTGTGTAAGAAATAATATTTAATTAAAAATAAAATATGTATAAAATCGAGATAGTAATTTTTTATTACGGAAATGAAAGTTTATAGTAATTTTTTATTACTTTGAAAATTGAATACAAGCAAGTGAATGTACGAAACCAATGATAGATTTCCGAAGCAATCTTTCCATTGCCCTGACCAAACACAGCCCCAGAGTAACTTCCTCATATATTCTACCATCCGCCTCTGTTTTCCACTCATTGCTATTATCGTCTCATTCTCGTTCATACTGCCATCAATCACTATTCTCTTCATTCATGTCCTTTCCCCCTCTCTAAACACTTCTTTCTACTGCTTTTTCGCTCTTTCATTCTTTCTGATATCTTCAGCTTCAGGGACTGCTATCTCTGATATTTTTATTGCTATAAGAAAACTTTTCTCTAGAAACCAGATGGCCTGATTTTTCACTCTTTTGTAGCTAAAAAAAGTAAACTTACCCGCTTCCATCTTCTTATTTCTCGTTTTTGTTTGTGATTTTAGATCCTACTCCATTCCCTTATCTATTTCTTTTAAAAAAAAAAAAAAAAAAAAACCCCTCTTCGATCTTATCTCTCCTTTTTTTCTTAAAAAGAATTAGTTTTCCATTCCCTCCTTTCTTAGTCAGACAGTTCTTTAGCAACAATAATCTCCTTCTTCAATCAAGAAAGCGTTACTTTTGTTTGATTTTGCTCTCTGCTTTGTTCTGTTACTGTCTCTGTTTTATTTTCATTTGCTTTTCTTCTTTTCTATTTTTTCAAACTTCAAAAACAAAAAAGTGAAAGAGAAAGGAAAAGGAATTGAAAATGGTGGAACCTGCCGGGAATATCGCGAGTGTGGTGAGTGTTGTTCTCCAGGTTGGCAAGTGGTTTGCTCGTCCGATTGGTCGCCGATTTATGTATTTGTTCAACCACAGGAACAACTTAGACAATCTTGAAAAAGAAGTCCGGAGGCTGAAGGATGCACAGGAGGAGGTGAAGAATAAGGTTGTTGCGGCTGAAAACAATGTGGAAAAAATCAAACCGAGTGTTACGCAATGGCAGGATGACGTGGATTCCATCATTCGTGAAGCAGAGCAGTTGATTGCAGAGAAAGCAAACGACCGATGTGTGAAGGGATTTTGTCCTAATTTGATCACCCGCTACAAACATGGTAAGAAAGCATTCGAAATAAAGGAGCATAATATATCTCCACTCCTGCAGCAACGAAATGACTTCGATGAGGTTTCCTATCCCACTACTCTGGAGGACTTGTGGCTTAAACCGGACAAAAATTATGATATTTTCATATCAAGAGATTCCACTTTCAAAAATGTGCTCAAGGCGTTAAATGATGCTGATGTTAACGTTGGGGTGTACGGGATGGGTGGCATCGGAAAAACGACTCTAGTGAAGGAAATAGGCAGGCAAGCCAAGAAAGACAAGATCTTTGATGTGGTGGTTTATGTTGAGGTAAATAAAACTATAGACATTGAAGAGATTCAGAAAGAAATTGCGCGTAACGTAGGTGTGAAATTCGAAGAAGGGACTCAGAGAGCGAGTAAGCTGTATGAACGATTGAAGAAGAAAGAGGAGAAGATCCTTATTATTTTAGATAATCTTTGGGATGAGTTTGATTTAAAGAGTGTTGGAATTCCTGATGAAGTTGATGATAGGGGATGTAAATTGTTGCTGATAGCAAGAGAACGACCGCTATTGCAGAAGATGGGTTGTCCTAATCCTTTACAGATTGACAGTTTAAATGGTGACGAGAGTTGGAGACTGTTTAAGACGACTGCAGGTGATTATGTTATAGAATTCTCAATCTTCTTTATATATTTTCTTATGTTTTATAGTTTCTAATAATTATATAAATTATTTCCTTGCAGGTGAATTTATTGAAACACAAGAGTTTAAATCTCTCGCGGAAAAAATATGCAAGAAATGTGAAGGTTTGCCTATTGCTATAGTTACTTTAGCAAAAGCGTTAAAGACCAAGAGACATTCATCTCACTGGAAAGAAGCCCTACGACAATTGAAAAGGTCTTCCTCGAAAAACTTCAAGGGAGATATGGCAGAAGCATATGCAACGATTGAGTTGAGTTACAAGTACTTAAAAGGTGAGGAACTACAGAAAACTTTTTTGCTCTGTAGTCTAATGAGACATCAAGCCTTCAGTTTAGACTTGGTCAAATATGTTATAGGTTTGGATATGTTTCAAGCAATTTATACGATAGAAGAAGCACGAAATAAAGTAATAACATTGATCGATGACCTCAAAGACTCATGTTTATTACTTAACGGTGACATCTACGAATCATTTTCAGTGCATGATTTTGTTCGAGAAGTTGCTTTGTCGATTGCAAATAGAAATGATCAAGTATTTTCCGTGAGAAATGAGATAAAGTGGGAATGGCCTCATCAGGATAGACTAAAAATTTGCAAAAACATATTTGTACGTGATAGTACTATTGATGATCTTGGTATGGTGTTTTTGGACTGTCCGCAGCTTGAATCTCTCTTCATGAATACCAAGGTTGGAGATTCTCATGTAAAAATTCCTGATAATTTTTTCGTAGGCATGAAAAAACTGAAAGTTCTAGATTTGGCTAGAATGCAGTTTTCCTCTTTGCAGTTGTCGCTTAGTCTTCTGGTAAACCTTCAAACATTGTGTTTGGATTATAGTAAATTTGAAGATGTAGCAATCATCGGAAAGCTAAAGAAATTGAAAATTCTTAGCTTACGAGGTTCAAGTGTTGAGCAATTGCCTAAGGAAATAGGTCAATTGACTCAATTAAAGTTGTTAGATTTAAGCGATTGTCAGCAGTTGGAAGTTATCGCACCAAACGTGTTATCAAACTTGGTTGGATTGGAGGAGTTGTATATGAATGGATGTTCTGTTTTATGGGAGGTTGAAGGACGCGATGTTCAAAGAAGTAATGCTAGTCTTGAGGAGTTGAAGCATTTGCGCGAACTTACCACTTTAGAAATGGATATCAAAGATGACGAGATTGTGCCAGAAGGCTTGTTCACCAAAAAGCTAGATAGGTACAAAATATCAATAGGAGTTGGGTCGTCTGAGTTTGGTGGTCGGTACATTTCATCTAGTGGGAAGAGCATATTCACTAGGAGTTTTGATAAGCCTATCACGTCAATTAGGACGTTGAAATTAAAGCTAAATTCTACCATTTGGTCAGAAAATCTGCAGGGTTTCAAGAATGTTGAGTTCTTATGCCTAGACCAATTGGAAGGGATCAATAATGTTGTTTTTGATTTAGACAAAGAGGGTTTCTCACAATTGAAACATCTTCATGTCCACAATAATTCTAACGTTTTGTTTATTGTTGATTCGATAAAGTGCACACCTCATGATGCCTTCCCTGCCTTGGAGTCACTGATTCTTTTCAATCTGATTAACTTGGAGAAGATATGTTATGGTCAACCCACAATAAATTCTTTCTCCAACTTAAAAATCATAGAAGTGGCGCATTGTGATAAATTGAAGAATATCTTCTCATCCTCCAATTCCAGAAGCCTTCCACATCTAACGTCCACGTGGCAGATTGCGAGAATATGAAACAGATTTTTGTTGCAGAAAGAGAGATAATGTCAACAACAATGATAATTGAAGAGTTGAATTCTGTCAATTATGCTATCTGACTTTTTCGAATCTTCCAAGGATTGCAAGCTTCTACTCAGAAGTAAAGACACCTTCACATTGCCAATGAGACAGAAGGAATCAACAACAATTTACAGTCCGATGATAATAATTTGGAAGATGAGCTTGATACTTTCATGCCACTTTTTAACGGAAAGGTTTGGTCCGCAATAACTTTGTATTATCTATTATATTTTTTTTTTTCTTTGACATTTTTTTTCTTTTTTTAACACATACAAAAAACAAATTCCTCATTGACAAGAAGACAAAAAAAAAAAAAAAAAAAAAAAACTCATATAATAAATGAAAATAATGTAAATAAGACTAAAATAGAATTGCGTTATTCCTCTCATCTTTTTTCATAAATTCTTCTCATGATTTTAAAATTAAAACTTTGTCACTAGAATTTATTTTCGTTGCTTACTCTAGACCACCTGTGGACATTCAATTTGTCATTTTGTCAAATGTTCATTCATTCTTACTTCTAGTCTTAATTCACTATTATTGCTTCTTTACTTCGTATTTTATTTTCTGTACGAGACATATCTCAAATGTTTGCACATGCTAAAGATTAGACAGGTAGAGTTCTTTATTAAGACTAACCCCGGGGCCGGAGCATATTGTCAATGTTCAGAACAATTATTGCTTTTTTACTTCATATGAGAAAAACTGAAATGAAAATTAATATTGAATGCAGTGTTTTCCCCAATTTGAAGACCTTAAACTGGAAGCAATTAATTCTGAAATGATCTGGGACAACCAACTTCCAACAATGTCTTCTTGCTATCAATGTTTGACACGTTTGATCATTTATTATATGAGAAACTAATTATTTATTTCCATCTTCTATGGTCAAAAGTTTTGAGCACTCCAGCATCTTGAGATATGGGGTTGTAAAGAACTAAGGAGATTGTTGGAAAGAAGAAGGAGCAGAGCAGCTGCTCCATTTTTATTTTCAAGGTAGAAGTCCTACAACTCAAGTACTTACCAAACTTATAACATTCTACCCTGGAATACACACTTCAAGTTGCCCAAGTTGAAGAGGTTGAGGATTCTCATTGTGAGAATTTACACTTATGAACTTCAGAATACAAGGTATGAGCCTTTTTTCTTTCTTTAATAATAAAAAAATTAACAAGTATTGCAAGAGACTGTCACTACCCTCTTCAACATACACACGTGTTTTACATTTTGGTTAGGATTTATAAAACACTTGAAATTTTAATTCTAATTGAGCAATTTAAAACATATTGTTCTCAAGTATATTAACTTACTTTCAATCTGATGCAAAATAATGAATTTTATAATATAAAGTTTTATTTGATAAAATCTTTTGAAAATGAATAAAAGAATAATATTAAATATATATATATATATTTTGTATTTTTTTAAGAATGCTGAATTTTTTAGTATTGATTGTTTTATGAAAAGAGCTTTTAATGGAACGGACATTGAAACTTATTGAAACAATTAACTTTGGTGCAGGTCGTATTCCCCAATTTGGAATATGTCAGTCTGCTTGCAATTAATTCTCAAATGATATGGGATAGTCAACTTCCAATAATGCCAGATTGCTATCAAAATTTGACTAGTTTATACATCGGGGGCATTGAAACTCTAAAATATGTGTTCCCATCTTCTATGGTCAAAAACTTTAAGCAACTCCGATACTTACATATAAATTCTTGTAAGGAGTTGAAGGAGATTATCGCCAAAGAAGGAGCAGAAGCATCTCCTACATTTATCTTTCCACGGGTAGAATCCCTAATACTAGGAAACTTAGAAGAACTTAGAACTTTCTACCCCGGAATGCACATTTCAGAATGGCCCAATTTAAAGAAGTTGGAAGTGTCTAGCTGTGACAAACTACAAATGTCCACTTTAGAATACAAGGTATGATTTCTTTCTTCGATAATAAATATAAAAATAAGTAAATTTCTCATAAACGGTTAAAATATAATTCATTTTTGTTTTAATAGTTTTCTGTCGTGGAACTTATCATGCAAGTGAAAGACTAATAGCAGACTTTTAAACGAAGGAAAAACATTTTTTTTTTCCAATAATATTTGTGTAGAAACTTTTTATACAAACTTTGTTTCAAATTGACGTAATTTAGCATGATTGAAAGACTTTAATTTAAAGATAAATTAGAAATAGTTTTTATCAGTAACTGTATATGCAACATTACTCTTGCTTTCATTGTTTGTTTAAGTGGATTGGTAGATGGACGTAGATTTCGAAAGAGAAAAAATAGACGTGTCAGTTTGAGAGGTTAGCAGACCTCCAATAAAAAAATTGGCATGTGATAAAACTATGAGAAACAAATTATTAATTATTTACTTCAACAAAAATACTAAAACGAAAATCAATTAACTGTGAGTGCAGGTTGTTTTACCCAATTTGGAGGCCTTAGAACTGCATGGAACCAATACGGAAAATATCTCTCAACTTTTGAAAACATCTTCTTGCTCCCGAAAGTTGACTCGTTTGGTATTGGAGGAGTGTGAAAAAGTAAAATATGTATTTCCATCTTCTATGGTCAAAAGCTTTGAGCAGCTTCAACACCTTGAGATAATCAGTTGTATGGCATTAAAGGAGATTGTTAGCAGAGAACACGGAGAAGAAACAAATGCCAAATTTGACTTTCCGCATGTAGCTTTCTTAAAACTTAATGACTTACCACAACTTACAACTTTTTGACTTGGGATACGTGCTATAGACTGGCCATGGCCCAAGTTAAAGAAGCTGGAAATGTCTGATTGTGACAAATTTCAAATGGTAACTTCAGAAAATAAGGTATGAGCCATTTTTCATCTTTAAAGGTTTTTGTGTTCAGAAAATAAAGAACGCTTTTTATACACAAAATTATAAAANTTATTAAACTATATGAAAAAAAAAAAAAAAGTTATTTATGATTAGAATTTTAGCATGCTAAAGTTTATGTACGAGACGTATCTCAAATGTTTGCACATGCTAAAGATTAGACAGGTAGAGAGTTCTTTATTAAGATTCAAATGTTGAGAAACAATTATTGCTTTTTTACTTCATATGAGAAAAAATTGAAATGAAAATTAACATTGAATGCAGGTTGTTTTCCCCAATTTGAAGACCTTAGAACTGAGAGCAATTAATTATCAAATGATCTGGGACAACCAACTTCCAACAATGTCTTCTTGCTATCAAAGTTTGACACACTTGATCATTAGTAATATGGAGAAACTAAAATATGTATTTCCATCTTCTATGGTCAAAAGTTTTGAGCAGCTCCAACATCTTGAGATAAGAAGTTGTAAAGAACTAAAGGAGATTGTTGACAAAGAAGAAGGAGCAGAAGCAGCTGCTACATTTGTATTTCCAGAGGTAGAATCCTTGAAACTCTCTTTTTTACCAAGACTCACAACTTTCTACCCTGGAATACACACTTCAAATTGGCCCAAGTTAAAGCAGTTGTACGTTTTTAATTGTCAGAATTTACACATATTCACTTCAGAATACAAGGTATGAGTCTTTTTTCTTTCTTTAATAATAATAAAAAAAAATTAGCAAGTACTACAGGAGACTATCACTAGCCTTTTCAACATACACACGTGTTTTACATTTTGGTTAGGATTTAATTCTAATTGTGCGACATTTATTAATACCATCAAGTGTTCTCAATTATATTAACTTACTTTCTATCTGATTTAAAATAATGAATTTCATAATATAAAGTTTTTGTCTTACAACAATGCCTTTCTTTACAAAATTATCACTTTTTCAAGTTAATTGTCTTTTTCCACATTCTAGTTTCATAACTTCAACAAATAGACAATAAAAGCGAACATCTATAATTAAATTAACAGGAAATATATAATGTTGCACAATCCATGAAAATTAAAATCTGTTTGATAAATCTTTTGAAAATGAATGAAAGAATAATGTTAAATATTCATTTTTTGTATTTTTTAAGAATGCTGAATTTCTTAGTATCGATTGTTTTATGAAAAGAGCTTTTAACTGAACGGACATTGAAACAATTAACTTTGGATGTAGGTTGTTTTCCCCAATTTGGTAGATGTCCACCTGGAAGCAATTAATTCTCAAATGATATGGGACAGTCAACTTCCAGTAATTTCTTATGGCTATCAAAATTTGACTAGGTTATACATATGGGGCATTGAAACTCTAAAATATGTGTTCCCATCTTCTATGGTCAAAAACTTTAAGCAACTCCAATACTTATAAATAAGTTCTTGTAAGGAGTTGAAGGAGATTATCGCCAAAGAAGGAGCAGAAGCACCTCCTACATTTATCTTTCCGCGGGTAGAATCCCTAATACTAGGAAACTTAAAAGAACTTAGAACTTTCTACCCCGGAATGCACATTTCAGAATGGCCCAATTTAAAGACGTTGAAAGTGTCTAGCTGTGACAAACTACAAATGTCCACTTTAGAATACAAGGTATGATTTCTTTCTTCGATAATAAATATAAAAATAAGTAAATTTCTCATAAACGGTTAAAATATAATTCATTTTTGTTTTAATAGTTTTCTGTCGTGCAACTTATNATTCATTCTGGTGAACAATTACAATTTTAATAATATATTTTCAATGATTATGAACATTTATGTGAGAATTAAATATTAAAAAACATTTTTAATAATTTTCTTTAAGGCTAAACTAGTCAAAAAAATGTTATTCAAAAGTGGGGATCCTAATAAACTGGGTGGGGCTAAAATTACTTCCCTATCTTTTTAGCTCCCAAATTTTGGCACATTAATTAGTCCAAAGTTTTACCATTTTGTGTTTTAAGGACCTTTTTACCCTTGAAAAAGGTTTAAAATAATTGTTAATTAGATTGTAAATATTGACTGAATCCTATTTACATTAGCATAATAAAATATATAAAAAAAATCAAATTAATTTAATTGAATCCTAATTACACTAAAACAAATGAAAAAAATTATATTTAATATTAAATTGAATCCTAATTTCCCTAACCCATGTAGTACACTAGATCTTTAATATTTCATTCAAGAGAAACAAAACATAGTCGAAGGAAAATATAATGAAGGTAAATGGCTAACTGTAAATTTAATCATTGTCATCTCTTTTATCCACCAGTTATTAAATTTACGATTTCTTTCTTCTCTTTGTTCCTTTTAAAAGTATACAAATTTCTAATTTTGAGTAAAAATTGTTTAAGGGAACATTATTTTGACATGATTTATATGATTGAATTTTAGGTTAACTCCAATTTGGAGAAATTGACATTAAGTGGAAAAGACATCATGTCTATGTGGCAAGACCAGTTTCCAGAACCTCGGTTTTCCAAAGTAAAAGTTGTTAATGTTATTCAGGATGAATCAACAAATATTCCCATTGAAATCCTTCAGAGATTTAACAATCTCGAAAAACTCATATTAACAAGAAATTCATACCAAGAGTTGTTCTCATGTGGAGAGGGTGAGAAACATGCTGAGATGCTCACACATATCAAACAGTTAGAGCTTTGGGGACTTTTCAATTTGAAGCACATGTGGAAACAAGATTCTCATCAGCTCTCAATTCTTCGAAATCTTGAAGAGCTATTAGTGTATCATTGTCACAATTTGATTAATCTAGTGCCATCTTCAGCATCTTTTGACAATCTAATAACTCTGGTTGTATGGAATTGTGATGGATTGGTAAACTTAGTAACATCCTCAACGGCCAAAAGTATGGTGCAGCTTGAAGAGATGATTATCAACAATTGTGAGTTGACGGTTGAAATAGTAGCAAATACAGGAGATGTTGAAAAAGATGAAATTGTTTTTAGTAAATTAAAGTCCCTAAGACTTTTGAATTTAGAAAGCCTAAGTAGCTTTTGCTCTGGAAATCACACCTTCAAATTCCCAGCTTTGGAACACATGAGGGTGAAAAAATGCCCCAAGATGAGCACTTTCTCTAGAGGAGTCTTAAGCACACCAAAATTGGACAAAGTGATGCAGAATAAGGATGACGATGATGAAGAGCATTGGGAGGGTGACCTTAATACAACCATACAACATCTATTCAAGGAAGCGGTACATATTCTGTTAACAATTAACTTTGTTGTGTATTTCAATCGTTACTGCTAGAACACTAGTTTCCTTTTTGTTTAATAATGCATATCTCTGTTGGGTTAATAACTCTTCATTATACAAAAGCTACAATATAAATTATTTAACAGAAGAATGAAGGTCAAAATAATATTTTCTCTATAGCTCAATCTTTATTTTCAAGGTGTTGTATTCTATCTTTACAGAATGATCAGAATTCTGATGAAACACCTGATGTGTTGGTCTATAGTAGGAAGCGTAGGAATGGGTAGTATAAGATTATGTATTTTGCTTTCTTCAATATAACTAAAAATAGTAAATTTATAATAAATGTATGAATATAATTCAGTTTTGTTTTAATAATTTTTTTGTCGTGCAAGTCAAAGACTAATGCAGACTTTTAAATAAAGGAAAAACAATTATTTTTACAATAATACTTTGTGTAGAAACATTTTATACAAACTCTCATTCATATAAATTTATAAGATGAATGACTTTAATTGAAGATAAATTAGAATAGCTAATAAAAAGATAATTTGTATTTGTATGTACAACATACTCTTGCTTTCATTGTTTGTTTCAGTGTATTGATAAATGGATGCAATTTCTGAAAAGAAAAATTGACTTGTGAGACCTGCCACATGACACAACTATGAGAAACAATTATTAATTATTTACTTCTAAATCAATGAACTGTGAGTGCAGGTTGTTTACCCATTTGGAGGCCTAGAACTGCAGGGAACCAATACCGAAAAGATCTGGCATCTCAACTTCTAAAAACACTTCCGGCCCCCGAAAATGACCCGTTTGATCTTGAGAACTGTGAAAAACTAAAATACGTATTTCCATTTTCTAGATAAAAGCTTCGAGCAGCTCCAACACCTCGAATAAGCCTTGTAAAGAACTAAAGGAGGTTGTTACCAAAAAGACGGTGAAGAAAGAATTGCTAAATTGACTTTCCGCATGTAGCTTTCTTAACTTAATGACTTGCCAGAACTTACAAAGTTTTGCCTTGGGATACCTACTTTAGACTGGCCCTTGCCCAAGTTAAAGAAGCTGGAAGTGTCCGATTGTGACAAATTACAAATGCTGCCTTCAGAAAATGGTAGAGCCCTTAATACAAATACAAAGATGCCCTTCAACTGTATTAACTTTTTGGTTTGAATTTGTTGACCATTTGAAGTCTACTTCAGCAATTTAATACCTCTTGTGACCAATTTGGTAAATTTTCGTTTCACACCAAAAGGTTTTGCCTTACAAGAACGCTTTTATACTAAAAATTATTAAATTTTCTGGTTAATTTTTTTCTTTTGTTTATTGATGTCTAATGTTATAGAGCCGAGTTTCTTTATCTCACCTAGAGAAGACAAAAAGCATCAACAAATCTAATTTAATTGGAATTATATAATGCATAGTCCAAGGAACTGAAATAGTCTAATAAATTTTGTAATTAACAATTCTTTTCGAAAATAAATTAAGAATAAAATAAAAATATTTGTTTCAAGATTAACGAATTTTTTTAGCATCATTCTATTAAAAAAATAAAAAATCATATTAAAAAATGCTTATATTAGGAACTTTTTTGTAAAATATATTTATATATTATAATGGGATGTAATTAAATCCTTTATAATATTCCTCACAATTTAATATCTTAATTTAACTTATTCAAATAATTAATATAAAAATATCATCTATTTCACTTATAAATAGAAGTAACTTACTGTAAAGTGTATATTGTTCACACTTTTTTGTTTTTATTCAGCAGAAAAATCATTTTCTAATAATTGAGGAAAATATATGAGTTTATAAACAATATTTTCATTATAAAAAAAAAATTAAGTGTATACAAATTGTTTTGTTTGTTAAATAAATGAACTCTTTTAAAATCAACTATTGATGGAAAATAAAACGTTTTTGTTGTACAATTTATCAAAAATTTGAAAAAAACCAGTAATGGCAGACTTGTAAATAAAGGATTTTTTTTTTTATTTAATTGGGTGTTGATTTGATTTTGTTTTGATTTATTGTAGATTAGCCCCAGTTTGGAGGAATTGGAATTGGTATAAGAGCGGACAACATGATGACATGGCTGTTTACTTCCAGAAAACATCTCTTGCAAATGTACTGTTGAGATAATGGTGATAAATCAACAAATATTCCACTTGGCATCATTCAGAGATCTTTTGATTTGGAAAAACTCGTACTAAGTTTTAGTTCATACAAAGAATATCATATGAGGGATGATAGACATACGGAACACTGATGCAGATGAAAAGTTTAGAGTTGATATCTTTAGATTTAAAAGAACATTGGAAAAGACTCCAAAGTGGACTTTGTTTCCAAATCTTGAAGTTCTAAAAGTATATAGCTGTTACAATTAGTTGTAGCTGTCTCCTCAGCATCTGTTGCAAATCTAAACAGTTTTGAGCATAAGTGATTGCTGGGGATTGAATAAATTATTCACACCCTCAACAGCCAAAAGCATGGTGCAATTGAGGGAAGTAAAAATTGGGTCATGCGATATGCTTATAAAGTGGTATCAAATGGGAAGACGTTGGAGTAGAAGATGGAATTGTTTTTGACAAATTGAATTGTTGTCACTTGGCTATTTACAAGTCTCACTATGTTTCTGCTATGGGAATTTCACTTTCAAATTCCCAGCTTTGGAAGAATTAACGTGGAGACGGCCCCAACATGAAGACTTTCTCTAAAGGAGATACAGTGCACCAGTTTACAAAAAGTAAAAAACAAGGGGGACACGGAAGGATATTGGAAGAGTGATCTTAATACAACTATACAACAATTACAGAAAAAAGGTACGTGTCTTGTTAAGAATTATTTATTCTAAATTTTTTATTTCCATGAACGCTCAATGAAACTTGATAATATGATTCCAAAAGTATTTAATTAGAAACAAATATTGAGTTTCAAAATATATATAAAACATAAATGCATAAATTTAAGAATATAGAAAGTTCAAATTTAAAAGGAAAACTATTCAATTTTAAAAAATATAAATTTTTTTGAAAATGTACATATCAAAATGTAGTACCAGTAGAGGGCTATAGCAATTTCGTGGGGTTGCTCCCGGTAGTTGGCCCGCTTGATGCTTATTGGCACTTAAAAATTTGATTCATCTTCAAATTGGAAACTTACCTTTACTTCTTTTGATTCAATTATGGTGTACGTATCTCAAATGTTTGCACATGCTAAAGACTAGACAGGTAGAGAGTTCTTTATTAAGATTCTAACCCCTGGGGCCAGGGGCATATTGTCAAATGTTCAGAAACAATTATTGCTTTTTTACTTCATATGAGAAAAAATTGAAATGAAAATTAACATTGAATGCAGGTTGTTTTCCCCAATTTGAAGACCTTAGAACTGGCAGCAATTAATTCCGAAATGATCTGGGACAACCAACTTCCAACAATGTCTTCTTGCTATCAATGTTTGACACGCTTGGTCATTATTTAGTAATATGGAGAAACTAAATTATGTATTTCCATCTTCTATAGTCAAAAGTTTTGAGCAGCTCCAACATCTTGAGATAAGAAATTGTGGAGAACTAAAGGAGATTGTTGACAAAGAAGAAGGAGTAGAAGCAGCTGTTACATTTGTATTTCCAGAGGTAGAATTTCTACAACTCAAAGACTTACCAAAACTTACAACTTTCTACCCTGGAATACACACTTCAAATTGGCCCAAGTTAAAGAAGTTGGAGGTTTCTGATTGTCAGAATTTACACATATTCACTTCCAAATACAAGGTATGCACCTTTTTTCTTTCTTTAATAATAATAATAATAAAAAAAAAAATTAACAAGTACTGCAGGAGACTGTCACTAGCCTCTTCAACATACACACGTGTTTTACATTTTGGTTAGGATTTGTTTACCAACAATTTTAATTCTAATTGTGCTACATTATTAATTTATACCATCAAGTGTTCTCAAGTATATTAACTTACTTTCTATTTGATGCAAAATAATGAATTTCATAATATAAAGTGTTTGTCTTTACAAAATTATCACTTTTTCAAGTTAAGTTTCTTTTTCCATATTCTAGTTTCATAATTAATTTAACAGGAAATATATAATATTGCACAATCCATGAAATTAAAATCTGTTTATAAAATCTTTTGAAAATGAATGAAAGAATAATATTAAATATTTATTTTTGTATTTTTTAAGAATGCTGAATTTCTTAGTATTGATCGTTTTATGAAAAGAGCTTTTAACGGAACGGACATTGAAACGTATTGAAACAATTAACTTTGGATGTAGGTTGTTTTCCCCAATTTGGTAGATGTCAGGCTGCAAGCAATTAATTCTCAAATGATATGGGACAGTCAACTTCCAGTAATTTTTGATGGCTATCAAAATTTGACTCGTTTGGTCATCGAGGACGTTGAAAAACTAAAATATGTATTCCCATCTTCTTTGGTAAAAAACTTTAAGCAACTCCAACACTTTGAGATAAGTTCTTGTAAGAAGTTGAAGGAGATTGTCGCCAAAGAAGGAGCAGAAGCACCTCCTACATTTATCTTTCCATGGATAGAATTCTTAAAACTAGGAAACTTACCCGAACTTAAAACTTTCTACCCTTCAGAATGGCCCATTTTAAAGAAGTTGGAAGTGTCTGGATGTGACAAACTACAAATATCCACTTCAGAATGCAAGGTATGAGCCTCTTTTCTTTCTTCAATAATAACTATAAAAATAAGTAAATTTATAATAAATGGTATGAATATAATTCAGTTTTGTTTTAATAATTATTTTGTTGTGCAAGTCAAAGACTAATGGCAGACTTTTAAATAAAGGAAAAACAATTATTGTTTACAATAATACTTTGTGTAGAAACATCTTATACAAACTCTTATTCATATAAATTTATAAGATGAATGACTTTAATTGAAAGATAAATTAGAAATAGTTTATAAAAAGATAATTTGTATTTGTATGTACAACATTACTCTTGCTTTCATTGTTTGTTTAAGTGTATTGATAAATGGATGCAATTTTTGAAAAAGAAAAAATTGACTTGTGAGACCTGCCACATGACACAACTATGAGAAACAATTATTAATTATTTACTTCTAAATCAATGAACTGTGAGTGCAGGTTGTTTTACCCAATTTGGAGGCCTTAGAACTGCATGGAATCAATACCGAAAATATCTCTCAACTTTTGGACACATCTTCCGGCCCCCGAAAATTGACCCGTTTGATCTTGAGGAACTGTGAAAAACTAAAATACGTATTTCCATTTTCTATGATCAAAAGCTTCGAGCAGCTCCAACACCTCGAGATAAGCACTTGTAAAGGACTAAAGGAGGTTGTTACCAAAGAAGACGGTGAAGAAAGAATTGCTAAATTTGACTTTCCGCATGTAGCTTTCTTAAAACTTAATGACTTGCCAGAGCTTACAACTTTTTGCCTTGGGATACCTACTTTAGACTGGCCCTGGCCCAAGTTAAAGAAGCTGGAAGTGTCCGATTGTGACAAATTACAAATGCTGCCTTCAGAAAATAAGGTATGAGCCCTTATATACAAATTACAAAAGATGCCTCTTCAACTGTATTAACTTTTTGGTTTGAATTTGTTGACCAATTTGAAGTCTACTTCAGCAATTTAATACCTCTTGTTGACCAATTTGGTAAATTTTCGTTTCACACCAAAAGGTTTTTGCCTTACAAGAACGCTTTTATACTAAAAAATTATTAAATTTTCTGGTTAATTTTTTTCTTTTTGTTTATTGATGTCTGAATGTTATAGAGCCGAGTTTCTTTATCTCAACCTAGAGAAGACAAAAGCAAGCATCAACAAATCTAATTTAATTGGAATTATATAATGCATAGTCCAAGGAACTGAAATATGTCTAATAAATTTTGTTAATTAACAATTCTTTTCGAAAATAAATTAAGAATAAAATAAATAAATAATTTGTTTTCAAGATTAACGAATTTTTTTAGCATCATTCTATTAAAAAAATTAAAAAAATCATATTAATAAAAATGCTTATATTAGGAACTTTTTTGTAAAATATATTTATATATATATAATTGGAGTGATAATTAAAATCCTTTATAATATTCCTCACAATTTAATATCTTAAATTAAACTTATTCAAATAATTAATAATAAAAATATCATCTATTTCACTTATAAAATTAGAAAGTAACTTACTGTAAAGGTAGTAATTGATCACACTTTTTTGTTTTTATTCAGCAGAATAAATCATTTTTCTAATAATTGATGAAAATATATAGAGTTTATAAACAATAATTTCATTATAAAAAAAAAATTAAGTGTATACAATATTGTTTATGTTTGTTAAATAAATGAACTCTTTTAATCAAATCCAATATTGATGGAAAATAAAACGTTTTTGTTGTACAATTTATCAAAAAATTTGAAAATAAAACCAGTAATGGCAGACTTGTAAATAAAGGATTTTTTTTTTTTATTTAATTTGGGTGTTGATTTGATTTTGTTTGATTGATTTGTAGATTAGCCCCAGTTTGGAGGAATTGGAATTGGTAATAAGAGCGGACAACATGATGACATGGCAGTGTTTACTTCCAGAAAACATCTCTTGCAAATGTACTGTTGAGATTAATGGTGATAAATCAACAAATATTCCACTTGGCATCATTCAGAGATCTTTTGATTTGGAAAAACTCGTACTAAGTTTTAGTTCATACAAAGAAATATTCTCATATGGATGGGATGATAGACATACGGGAACACTGATGCAGATGAAAAGTTTAGAGTTGAAATATCTTTATGATTTAAAGAACATATGGAGAAAAGACTCCAAAGTGGACTTTGTTATTCAAAATCTTGAAGTTCTAAAAGTATATAGCTGTTACAAATTGAGTTGTATGCTGTCATCCTCAGCATCTGTTGCAAATCTAACAGTTTTGAGCATAAGTGATTGCTGGGGATTGATAAAATTATTCACACCCTCAACAGCCAAAAGCATGGTGCAATTGAGGGAAGTAAAAATTGGGTCATGCGATATGCTTATAGAAGTGGTATCAAATGAGGAAGACGTTGGAGTAGAAGATGGAATTGTTTTTGACAAATTGAAGTTGTTGTCACTTGGCTATTTACACAGTCTCATATGTTTCTGCTATGGGAATTTCACTTTCAAATTCCCAGCTTTGGAAGAATTAATCGTGGGAGACTGCCCCAACATGAAGACTTTCTCTAAAGGAGATACAAGTGCACCATGTTTACAAAAAGTAAAGAAGCACAAGGGGGACACGGAAGGATATTGGAAGAGTGATCTTAATACAACTATACAACAATTATACAGAAAAAAGGTACGTGTCTTGTTAAGAATTATTTATTTCTAAATTTTTTATTTCCATGAACGCTCAATGAAATCTTGATAATATGATTCCAAAAGATATTTAATTAGAAACAAATATTGAGTTTCAAAATATATATAAAACATAAATGCATAAATTTAAGAATATAGAAAGTTCAAATTTTAAAAGGAAAACTAATTCAATTTTAAAAAATATAAATGTTTTTTGAAAATGGTACATATCAAAATGTAGTACCAGTAGAGGGCTATAGCAATTTCGTGGGGTTGCTCCCGGTAGTTGGCCCAGCTTGATGCTTATTGGACTTTAAAAATTTGATTCATCTTCAAATTGGAAACTTACCTTTACTTCTTTTGATTCATTATGGTGTACAATTACAATTTTAATAATATATTTTAAATGATTATGAACATTTATGTAAGAATTAAATATTAAAAAACATTTTTAGTAATTTTCTTTAAGGCTAAACTTGTCAAAAAAAAAAATGTTATTCAAAAGTGGGGATCCTGATAAACTGGGTGGGGCTAAAATTACTTCCCTATCTTTTTAGCTCCCAAAATTTAGCACATTAATTAGTCCAAAGTTTTACCATTTTGTGTTTTAAGGACCTTTTTACCCTTGAAAAGGATTTAAAATAATTGTTAGTTAGATTATAAATATTGACTGAATCCTATTTACATTAACATAATAAAATATATAAAAAAAATCAAATTAATTTAATTGAATCCTAATTACACTAAAACAAATGAAAAAATTATATTTAATATTAAATTGAATCCTAATTTCCCTAACCCATGTAGTACACTAGATCTTTAATATTTCATTCAAGAGAAACAAAACCCAGTTGAAGGAAAATATAATGAAGGTAAATGGCTAACTGTTAATTTAATCATTTTCATCTCTTTTATCCACTGGTTATTAAATTTACGATTTCTTTCTTCTCTTTGTTCCTTTTAAAAGTATACAAATTTCTAATTTTGCTTAAAAATTGTTTAAGGGAACATCTATTTTGAGATGATTTATATGATTGAATTTTAGGTTAACTCCAATTTGGAGGAATTGACATTAAGTGGAAAAGACATCATGTCTATGTGGCAAGACCAGTTTCCAGAACCTCGGTTTTCCAAAGTGAAAGTTGTTAATGTTATTCAAAATGAATCAACAAATATTCCCATTGAAATCCTTCAGAGATGTAACAATCTCCAAAAACTCATATTAAAAGGAAATTCATACCAAGAGTTGTTCTCATGTGGAGAGGGTGAGAAACATGCTATGATGCTCACACATATCAAACAGTTAGAGCTTCAGGGACTTTTCAATTTGAAGCACATGTGGAAACAAGATTCTCATCAGGTCTCAATTTTTCGAAATCTTGAAGAGCTATCAGTGCATCATTGTCACAATTTGATTAATCTAGTGCCATCTTCAGCATCTTTTGACAATCTAATAACTCTGGATGTATGGAATTGTGATGGATTGGTAAACTTAGTAACATCCTCAACGGCCAAAAGTATGGTGCAGCTTGAAAAGATGACTATCGAAGATTGTGAGTTGACGGTTGAAATAGTAGCAAATACAGGAGATGTTGAAACAGATGAAATTGTTTTTAGTAAATTAAAGTCCTTTAGACTTTTGAATTTAGAAAGCCTTAGTAGCTTTTGCTCTGGAAATCACACCTTCAAATTCCCAGCTTTGGAATACATGAGGGTGGAAAAATGCCCCAAGATGAGCACTTTCTCTAGAGGAGTCTTAAGCACACCAAAATTGGCCAAAGTCAAGGAGACTTGGTGTGCCGAAGAAAAGCATTGGGAGGGTGACCTTAATACAACTATACAACATCTATTCAAGAAAGCGGTACGTATTCTATTAACAATTAATTTTTTTATTTTTTTTCTTTTTCCCTTTTAACATTGGAATACCTGATAAAATAATATTAAATATATATTTCAATGCGATATAGCTTATATTTAATAGCAGAATGAAGGTCATGAGGCTGATGTGTAGTTCAAAATAATATTTTCTCTATAGCTCAATCTTTACTTTCAACGTGTTGTATTCTACCTTTATAGAGTGATCAGAATTCTGAAAATGATTTTGATGAAACACCTGATGTGTTGGTCTATAGTAGGAAGCGTAGGAATGGGTAGTCAAGGATTATTAGTAGTTGGGCAAAAGGGTTCCTAGGCGTGTGAATGTTAAGGAAGAATTAATTATGTGGGACAAGTGGCAATAAGAGGTGTGTGAATGCTAAGCAAGAATTGTGTGGGACAGGTGGCAATAAGAGTATGGTTAACTGGGGAATTCTGTTCTGGATAAGAGTCTGAATGGAATAAAAGGAGATAGGGAGAATTGGGGAGGATATTCAAAAAAGAGAAAGCGGAGAGGTGATTGTTAAGTTTAATTCTTTTGTGTATTTGGTTTGCTAGAATATAAATAGACTTACTGTTACTTTTTGGGTTTGGCTACAGTGTTGTTGTTGTTATTGTTGTGGTTTGATTGAGTATGGGAAGGTATCTATCAAATTCAGGTCAAACTTCTGTGAAATCTCCGGAATAAAGCTATATTTTCTAACTGGTTTGTGAGGTATTCCGTAGCTCGTGTTCCTTTTGCTGAAGTCAGAGAGTGGAAGGATATTTATTTTCTATCTTCATTGTTCGTTCTGCTTTGAAAGTTTTAGAGAAGTTATTTTCTTCACATATTTGAGGTTGATTTGGACAGTGAAGGTTGTATTTCATTCTGTTGCTTTGTACTGTATTCAATACTTAGAAGTATGAATTATGTGCCAATGGTTATGTGAATTTGTGCGTGTCTCATAATCTGCCAATGTAGTGAACTTCTGGTGTATTATAAATCTATTTCACGAATTTTTGTTCCTCAAAAGCTGGTATAAATTAGTCAAAACTCTGTTGGAAATTGTGTATTGACAAATCTTTGATGTATGATAATTCTACTTGGTGAAATTGTCATCAAAAGTTGCTATAATCATTCCCCGCCCTTAATCTTCATTTTTGTACCGATCACACAAACCAATTCAATTGCTTATATCTCATAGCCCTCCTATGCTAGAATCATTGTCTTGTAATCACCATTGTGTTGTCTTTGTTAAAAGTCTCAAGAAATTTGAAACACACGAGTTGTTACCCACAAACATATGTAAACAATCAAATTATTAAATGTAGCTATAAAAAAGTGAACAATTGTAATCCTAAAATGTTTAGAATAATTAATATTAGCGATGT